CAGGTAAGGAGGAAGAGATTATTTGATGGATATAGAGCGATTTTTTATTAATTGATCTTATGTTAATATTAAACAGTGAAAATGTAGAGGTAGGTTGAATATTGGTATTTTTAAATCTAGTTATATTATTTAAACTAATAGAATTAGAATTATTATTCTTATCATTAGTATTAATTACATTAGGATTAGAGTAGGATTTAATAAAATTATTATTATTCTTATTATACTTGCTAATAACATTATTATTATTAATATAATTATGGTTACTAACTATATTTATTTTTTTGTTAGAGTTAGATTTATTATTTTTATTGTTATTATTAGACCTAAGATCAAAGTAAAAAATTCGCCGCCGAACCACTCTCGTCGGAGACAAAGGAGTGCTAGAAAGGCTTAAGAGAAAGTCTCTAGAATAAGACATAATAATATTTTCAAGTTAAGGAAAAGATGTTGAAAGATATAGAAAAAAATAGTCATAGTAAAAAAGAAGAGAACTCACTTGTTCAGAAGCAGAAAACAAGAATCCACCCAAATTAAAAAACCACCGAGAAAACGTGCCGCCATCACGCTAAACGTAAAACATCATAATGGGGGATAGCGACGAAAAATGCATTCAAGTGACAGTCGATTGTGACATAGAACTACCTCAATCATCTGAAAACATCGTATGGGGCAAGTTGAATTGCGATCCTGGGGACCACCAGTTCTATTTGATGGAGCCGACCTCAACGACAAATGTACAGAACGCGATCATTGGAAAATGCCTGGTAGAAGCGAACAAAAATGGTCTTATTCCTGTCAGAATAATGAATACCGCTAAACACACTATTCAAGTTGAAAAAAGGCGAGGAAATAGTTAATTGCCAATCAATAAATTTGGTGAAATCATTAGATATGGAGCAACAGGAAAAAGTTCTACCAACTGACAAAGGTAGACTCAAAGAACTTACCGAAAATCTACTGGATGAACTTAATTTGTATCAAGAAGACCGTCTAAAAGCCGAGGCGTTGATTGCTGATTTTGCAGACGTGTTTTCAACCGGTGACAATGACCAAGGTAAAACAGCTCTGGTAACTCACCGAATTGATACTCAGGATTCGAAACCGATCCGACAAGTACCACGACGTCTTCCTCTAGCAAAACAAACAGAAGTAAACGAAATGATAACAACAATGCAGAATCAAGGCGTCATCGAACCGTCATCAAGTCCCTGGATTTCGCCAGTTGTTTTGGTAAAGAAGAAGGACGGCACTACCCGTTTTTGCGTTGATTATAGTAAGTTAAATGATGTGACTAAAAAGGACAGCTATCCGTTACCGAGGATTGATGACATCATGGACACCCTATCTGGCTCAAGTTGGTTCTCTACGCTTGATTTGAAAAGCGGATACTGGCAAGTAGAAATCGACAAGAACGATCGCGAAAAGACAGCGTTTTCTATCGGATCGGGGTTGTGGCAATTCACCGTCATGCCATTTGGATTGTGCAATGCTCCAGCTACATTCGAGCGACTGATAGAATGTGTATTGCAAGGTCTTAACTGGAAAACCTGTCTTGTCTATTTAGACGACATAATTGTTCTAGGAAGAAAATTTGATCAACACGTCGAAAACTTACGGAAGATCTTCACAAGACTTCGGGTGGCAAATTTAAAGCTGATCGTTAAAGAGTGCAGGTTATTTTCTAAAGAAGTTAACTATTTGGGACATGTGGTATCTTCAGATGGAGTTCGAAAGACTGTGAAAGACTGTGCCAACTCCAAAAGATAAAAATGAATTGCGCAGTTTTCTGGGATTGGCTACGTACTATTGACGTTTTGTAAAGGATTTTGCAAAAGTTGCCAGACCTCTCCACCAACTTACCGAGAAGGACCAAGTTTTCAACTGGAATACCCTATGCGACTCAGCATTTGAAAAGTTAAAAGTTGAACTATGTGATGCTCCTTTGATAGCATATCCAGTTCGTGGCAAGACGTTTGTGTTAGATACTGATGCAAGTAACAACGGAATCGGAGCCGTTTTGTCACAGCATATAGACGGAGAAGAAAAGGTGCTAGCGTATTATAGCAGAGGATTCACAAAGCCCGAATAAAACTATTGTGTGACCAGGAAGGAGTTACTAGCAATAGTCAATGCAACAAAACACTTCCACAAGTACCTTTATGGACAGAAATTTCTTCTCCGAACTGATCATGCAGCGTTAAGATGGCTCCTTAACTTCAAGGATCTTGAAGGACAGATGTCCCGATGGTTGGAGCGTTTACAAATGTACGACTTCGAGATCGTGCACCGCAAAGGAACAACTCATAGTAATGCTGATGCTCTCTCACGTCGACCATGTTTACCAGGATGCAAATATTGCTGTCGTCACGAGGAGAAGATACAATCGGAAGACATAAGAGCAACAACAATATCAGCGGATGACGGTTGGACACCGACGGATCTTGCTGATGCACAGTTTGCGGATGAGAACCAACAACATCTGATCACATGGAAGAAGGAGGGCAAGCGACCGGACTGGCAAAGCATCTCAGAATATAGTGCCGTGTTAAAGGGTTATTGGGCTCAGTGGGGCTTATTGTATTTGGAAGGNGATTTGCTGAAACGAANATGGGAATCAGCTGCTGGATCAAAACACCGCATGCAAGTTGTAATACCAAGAAGTAGAACGACCGAAATCCTTGATGAAATGCATGGCGGCCCTTCTGGGGGACATTTAGGAGTGAACAAGACCCTTGACAAAATACGAGAAAGATTCTACTGGCTTCACGTTAGAGAAGATGTAGAGAGTTGGTGTCGAAAATGTAACACATGCGCTTCAGTCAAAGGACCCAAAAGAAGGCTAAAAGGAGCAATGCAAATCTACAATGTTGGTGTCCCCTTTGAACGGATTGCTATAGATATTGCTGGACCCTTTCCGATATCAGATTATGGAAACCGTTACATTCTGGTTGTAGCGGACTATTTCAGCAAATGGCCTGAGGTGTTTCCAATACCCAACCAAGAAGCATGTACCGTCGCTGAGGAAATTGTACTCAATTGGATTAGTCGATATGGTGTCCCATTGGAACTCCACTCAGATCAAGGTCGAAATTTTGAGTCACAACTGTTTGGTGAAATGTGCAAGCTGCTGGGTATAAACAAAACTCGAACGACACCTCTTCACCCACAGTCTGACGGTACGGTGGAACGATTTAACCAAACCCTGATTGAACATCTGGCTAAAGTAGTCGACGAAAATCAACGGGATTAGGATCGTCATATACCATTGTTTCTTATGGCATACCGGAGTGCTATCCACACAACTACTGGAGAAACGCCATCAAAAGTTTTGTTTGGGACTACCTTAAGAACTCCAGCTGATGTGAAATATGGCGTATCACCTGAACCACATCCACCGTTACGTACGCCTTAAAATTATGAAAAACACGAGTTAGTTTGGCTGTACAACCCACAGCGAAAGAAAGGACGTTCTCCGAGGCTCCGGCGAGGGTGGGAAGGACCTTATCAAGTCATCACCCGCTTGAATGACGTCGTCTACCGTATTCAGGAATATCGGAAGCCGAAAGCAAGAATGAAGATCGTTCATTTGGATAGACTGGCTCCGTACCATGCGGACACCGGAACGAAAACTGTTCGGGACGAACAGAACTAAGAAGGGGGTAATGTTATAACCGTGCTACCGAACGCACTAGAACATTCTAGAATATGCTAGAATCGGACCATCTAGAAGAATCTAGAAACGACGCTTGCGAAGAGTATATAAGCGCACGTCGCAAGAAGATTAGCGATTAGTGAAATTCGTGATTTTGTAAATTCGTGACTCTGTGATTTTGTGAATAGCGATTCGGTGAATTATTTAAAGCGATATTTGATTTGTTTTGTTGACGTTGTCATAGCGATAGATTTTGAACAATTTCAAAGTTAATTATTGTGTTAATTTGAATTTGCTAGAAATAAACGATTAGTTGATTTCTTCTGTAAATAATGTTTAATAACTAATAACTGTTTGGAGTATTTTATTCAATCGAAGATTTGAACCCGTCGCATCGTAAATCGGTTACGACAGCGAGTATTATAACAATATCCTCATCACATTTACAACCTAAGGTAATCAGACTTTAGAGATAATTGAAGCTGTTGACTTATTTCACTTGTTTACCATTAATGGTTCCGAAGCAGATCGGTTCGGTTTTCCTTTTACTGACAACTATGCAGTCTGTTTTGTTCATTTGCAAGTTTTTTCTTTCACTTTTAAAGTCCAGTTTGGAAATAATTATTTGCCGGTTTTCCATTGATTTCGCTAAAAGAACTGTATTATCATCATATCTTACATTGTTTATATTTACACCTCCGATCGAAATTCCAGTTAGGCCTTCTATCTTTTTTATGATGATCTCACTATAGAGATTGTAAAAGTCGGGAAAAAGTATATAGTCTTGCCTAAAACCTTTCATTATTTTGACAAAACTAGTAATCTTGTTATTTTTCACCATGGATATCATTGAAAAAATTGTTGATCTTTTAAATACTTTTTCTTTCTCTATGAGTTCTTAACGGGATTTAGCTTTTGTGCATCTAAAAACGGTACAAGCTTTTTTCCTGTGATTTTTTTTTTGTTTTCACACATTGCATTTGTATTACTGTTTGTGATTTTGCATCATTTCCCCTTTGCTTCTAAGCACATTTTTTTTAATGTTTTGAGCTTTTTATAACTATCAGGATTGCCACCTTTCATTTTCCTTCGATCATTCACCAGAGATACAATGTCATCTTTTACCCATTTTTGACCTCTTCTTTGTTCTTTCACAGGTAAAACTTCCCTTGCTGAGTTTGTGAGAGCATCGCTAAACATTTCATATTTAGATTTATTTAGTTTTTTTTCAATAATTAAAAACAATTCCGTACTTCAACGTTGTACTTGATCTTGGTCTCTTTATTTTGTGACAGACTGACATAATTCAAACGTTTTGGGGCCGCTTCACATTTCCTAACTTTATTATCTTAATTTTACAAACAACTTGGTTATGATCACTACCGCAATCAGCTCCAGAATAACTTTTGCATTGTAACACAGTATTTTGAAATCGTCTATTTATAGTAATGTAATCAATCATATTTTTTCCATTGTCTCCGGAAATCTTCCAGTTATATTTTCGTCTTGGGTGATTGTCATTCCAGGTGTTGGTAATAGTTTGATCATTTGCGGCACACCAATTAATAAACTTTTTTCCTTTTTCATTTCTTTCACCTATTCCAAAAAAAACCATCCACGTCCTGAGCCAACTTTTGCATTTAGGTCGCCCATTATAATAACAACTTTTTGAGATTTACGTGTTTTTATAGCATCATTAAGAGCACTATAAAAAGCTTCCAGGCTTTGGCGCATAAACTTGAATAACAGCTAGGTTGAAATTTTTTGCGTGTATTTTGACCAACAAGCTCTATCTGACAACGCCCAGAAACCTCCAAAATGTTTAGATATTTCTTTGATCAAAAGTTCACCTACTCCTCGTTTGCATGAATGACCTCCAATAGATAAAGATATTCAGAATAAAACTTCTGAACATGAAAACGCTGTAATTATGTGTATTAATTTTAATTAATAACAACCAAATAATTAATTTAAATACTTTTTCAATCATTTACATTATCAAACACTTTTTTATTCATATTATACGATTATTATACGATTATTATTTATTCAACTAACAATAACAATAATGCAATAACATCTAAGATTTCTAAAATGTTTTAAATAATGAATGAATGTTTAACTTTGTAAGTAAATATTTTGACATTTTTACTCAATCAATTTTTCAATAAACTAGTTCAAAACTATATAATCTATTTAATTCCTTAAAGTGACAAACGCTTGCTTGACAAACTTGCATGTTCCTTCTTGAATTGACTGAAACACGTTCCCCGCATTGTATTATGTAAATTCATTCTATTTATTTTCATTTTCCACGCTTAACAAAAATTATGTGAAAAAATTGTTTGAAGAAAACCATTGAATGTATAACTACAATTATTCAATGTTGTGTTGAGCCACGTTTTTATGTCGTGTCATGTTATGTTGTGTTAATGTTATAACCGTCACAAATATATTCGATAGAGGGCTAGTGTCGCCACGAACGCATACAGTTCACTAGAACCTTAAGACAAATATCTAGAACGTTTGAGAAGCGTTGGAAAAATGGGTATAAAAAGGCTTGCAAAATATTGAATGGTTAATGTTTGATATTTGATATTAGAAAGCGATTGATTGTTGGCGTCGAAAGCGATATTTGACTTGTATATTTATTGTATTTGCGATAAACGTTAGTGAATTGTTACTCGGAAAGCGATAGTTTCTGAACGCTAACTCGATAGTTTGTGGACATTAACAATAATTAGTAAAATTTAATAACGTTGATTATTTATTAATCAATTGATTATGAATAAATAAATCAATAATTAGGAAGTTATATTGTCTATTTTTTCACTGGGATTAAATTAAATGATCTCGTTGCTGACTCGGCCAGTTATAACATTAGCGTCAGAAACGGGATCTTCTGCGGACAATAAGTTAGCATCGTTGTTGAGAATTTTGATTTTTTTCGTCGAGAACTTATTTTATGAAAACAACATGACAAAACAACATCAACTTAAACTGGTGCAACTCAAAAAAGAGTTGCAGAAACAAAATCTTGCTACAAGTGAAAACAGAGGAGCATTGATAGCACACATAACGAAAACCCTTGTAAATGAAGAGAATCCAGAAGAATTCGAGTTTGATGATGAAGATGTCAAATCGAACACAGTTGCAGACGCTGGGGCAAACACCGATTAGATGGCTCTACATCGAACGATATCATCAGAAATAAAACAACATTCTACAAAAATTTGACAACAATCAGCAGAAATAAAAAAGACGAGAGATCAAATTGATGCCAAAATTGAACAGACGAGAGTTTAAATTGAAAAACAGTCGGCCGCGATTGATACTAAAATGATACAACTATTGAGAAAACTTATAAAACAATTTGAGGTCAAAGCTGAACAGCAAACGGCAGTTATCAATGCAAAAATAGAAGACGTCACGTCAATATTTGATGAAAAAAATTGAAAAAATAAACTCTGCACCTGTAAGCCACGTGACCGCGGAGACATTGAAAGCGCCAGCATTCGACGGCAAAACTTCTTAGAACATTTATAAAGCCTAGTTTGAAACAGCAGTCATGTATTATGGCTGGAATGAAAGAAAGCAAGCAACGGCTTTTCTAGCAGCGTTAAGAGAGTCAGCGGCAAAAGTTCTCCAAACGATTCCAGTCGAGAACCATTCTAACACAAAGAAAAAACTGCATTGGAAACGTTTGTAAAGGCTGTTCAAAATTCAGATCTTAAACAAATCCTCATACAAGCGGACAAACGCAACTTTAAAGACTGGCGTAAAGCTGCGCCAAATTTGTAAAAAATGGTCATGTCAAAGGATGGTTTTAGAACGAAAGGGTCAGGATTATGGTTCGCTAAAATGATGGAATTGTGGAGAAAAGGACATCTACGACAAGATTGTAAACAACACCCTAGAAACAATTACTGTCGTCACTGTTCAGCAACATGGCACAAACGGTTAGATGTTGACTCCACATAACGACAGACTGCTTCAAACAGGGAGGCGGGAAACTAATGAAAGCCAATTTTGTGGGGCAAAAGTTGGCTGGTAGAGTTGACGCTCCCAGTACCGTGATTAAAGTCTTTAGGTTGCATCAAAATCAATACGACCTTTGGTTGGATGGCAAAGTTGGTTCACAAGAATGTTGAATTACAATAGACGCTGGAGCGAGAGGTCAATCTTAAGATCCGATCTGGTACCCAACCTAAAAAGAGAAATTTTTCATAAATACATTTTTTGAACAGCTACAAGAGGAACAGTGCCCGTCTACGTAGAAATTTCTTACACTACTCAACTACGCGTTTTGGCATTTGAGGGCACATTCTTGGTATCAGATATCATGACGAATGCATAATATGCGTTGATTTTCTAAAAAAAAAAACATGGTTTTAAAATTGATTTAGAAAAACGCGTCTTTAGATAGAGAAATACGGAGATAGTAATAGGGACCAGCAATGTGAAATATAATCGTATAACAGTCGACAGTGATACTGAAGTACATAAATTGTCAGAGAACATAGTTTGGGCAAAACTAACTGCAATCGACATTGCCGGACCAATTTCTGAATCAAATGATGGAAACCGTTAAATTCTGGTTGTAGCGAACTATTTTAGCAAGTGGCCGAAAGTGTATCTGAAACCAAATCAGGAGGCTTGTACCGTCGCTGAAAAGAACGTAATGAACTGAATCAGTCGGTATGGTGTTTCCATGGAGCTGCACCCAGACCAAGGTAGAAACTTTGAGTCGCAACTGTTTGGTGAGCTGTGTCAATTGTTGAATAATAAGAAGACAAGAACAACTTTGGCCAAGGTAGTTGACAAAAGCCACAAAGACTGGAATCGACGAATACTACTGTTCCTCATGGCATATCGAAGTGCCATCCACACAACTACTGGTAAGACTCTCTTAATAATCCTCTTTGGAAGTACAATAAGAACCCCAGCTGATATGAAATATGGCGTACAATCTGAGGCCCCACAATCAATAATAGATTGAGTGGACAATCTCCGTCAGCGGTTAAACAGCATCCACCAATACACGCGCCTGAGTTAAAAAAGGAATATTAAAATAATCAAGACCCGATACGATCAAAAGGGAAACACTGCCGAATTTAACGCCAACGACTTGGTATGGCTGTTACATTATGTCGTGTTATGTTATGTTGTGTTATATTATGTCATGTTATGTCATGCCATGTCATGTCATGTCATGTTATGTTATGTCATGTCATGTCATGTCATGTTATGTCATGTTATGTTATGTTACGTTATGTTATGTTGATATTTTTTACCTCGTTATTAACGATGTATAAATATTTCGAATTGTTGTTCGAGTGATGCAGAGTCACATTAAGTTGATGGTAAGTTCAACACGATACATACGCAAGAGCTATTGACATGATCAATTGGATTTGTTTATTAACGTTTTTGTTAGTATGTGTGCCCATGCGCGTTTTTGTGCTTACCTGCAATATGTATGTGTGTGCATAAATATATGGTTGTATATTTAGGGTGGGTCGAATTTTTTTATCTTTCCTGTACATGAACAAAAAGTTGTCTTGGCATCAGTACAGTATGAAAATAATATTTAAACATTTTTTATGAAACGTTTAGGGGTCCCAACTTTTGATTAAAGTCGTACCTTATTTGGTGTATTTTAACCATTTCCTTGGTACAATCTAAATACGTACCAACTATAAATCATTGACTAAAATGCATCGGCAAATGGCTTAGCACCTAACTACAAGTGCTAAAAAAAAAATGGAGTAAATTTTATAACGTTATTTGCATGTGACGTCACCAACATTAACAACAAACCATGTGCTGGATTTTTTAGAAACAAGCAAAATATCTAATATATTATTTTGTAATTTTATTTTCTTCTTTGCAATAATAGATCTATAGTAAAATTCAAGTAGGCTAATATAGATGTATACTACAGTAGACTATAGTCTAGACTGTAGACAAATCACTTCATTTAACTGGAGGAGAACTTAGGTAGACCATTACAGTGGTTGGTATGCCTTCCACACTGTAACGAGCTGCCATTTAGAAGGTTTTTGGCAGGCGTGGATTTTACTCGAACTACAGGACCTTCCACATCGACAGATACAATTAGCTCAGTTCTAGAATATGATCCAAATGAATTGCCTGTCGTTAATTATTTGCCAATTACTGGTAAGGTGACTGATTGTGATGAAGCTGTCAAGAAGGATCTTAGCACAGACCAACTGTAGTTTTTGAAAGCATGTCTAGCAGTACAGTGTGGACGTCAGGCTTCTACAGATATTGATTTCCTCGAGAAGAGTTTACCTAGAAATTTAAGTCATGCTCGATGGTTGACGAAAGCCAACAGGATTTTGCGTCTTTACATGTCTAGAGAAGTGGCATCTGAACCTTTCAGAAGAGTAACACATTTCATTTTGAACTTTTACGGACCCTCTTGGTTCAAAATTAAATCAAATTCTTCTTGCCGAAATGGTGCTAACAACTTCTTTTACTTAGTTCAGTTGTTTCGGGAACTTGATGCCTTAGATCAGGCTGTGGTTGGTCCAGTTCTCAAAAATAACTGCTACTTTGCGCATGCTGAAAACATTCTCTTAGCTGCAGTTAGTGATAGTGATATGAAAATTCGTCGTTTTTCAGTAGAACAAATAATAAGAGCAAGAGAGAAGCAGACTAATTGTAACATACCGGTTCGCGTCTTTGATAAGAAGGATATAACATTAAATCTGGCTGCGACATCGTTCATTAACATGATTGACTGGGGCCAGAGTAATGTTACGTCTCCTCCGATGCTATCACACCTTTCAAATGATCAACTTACTTACACACATCCAATACTACTGCCCGATGTTCCATGTCATTCACAGGCAGTAGAGAGAACAATTAAAGACGTTAGCGCTGCCAGCTGTAAAGTTTATGGGAGAAAGTCCCGTCATGGCATGGTGTTACAGAGTAAGAAATCCAGATTAGAGATACCAAAAACAGACAGCAAGAAAGATTTTATTAACAGTTAGGTTAAACAACTTTGTATTGTTGCTGTTTAACATTGATTCGTTACAGTTTACATTCTTTTTAATTTGTAATACATTGCAATACATTACACTAACATTGGGTATTTATGTAGTCTTTCTAGTCAGAGTTGGGACCTGTAGACACTGTCCATAAAATAAAAAGTGAGGTTTTTTCAAACGGGTACATCAAAAAGCAACTTTTTAGACATGTACAGGATCTCCAACTTAATATTTTTTACATTTCGACTCACCTTAATGCATATGTGTGTGTGTGTATATTCATGCACGCATATACACATATATGTGAATAACTGTGATACGGCTTGTGTACATATTTATTTCATCATTTTATTGTTTTCTCATTTCATGCTGGTTGTTTCAATTGTGATAAAACGTAAATTATCATTGATTTGATTTTATATTATTAAGAGCAAAAAATTTTACTTTCCCCAGCAAAAGCTTTGAAGCATGGTTTAATTTGAAGTAAAAATTTCAAAATTTTGAATCCAATCCAAACATTCCTGAAAATTTCATATCAGTAACATTGATTTTTGATAAAAAGACTTGTGTTTATTTCAAAACAGATTAACAATTAATTTCATGTGATTTCAACGTTCCGCAAAATTCAACTCTGGCATTAGTTTTTTCTGGGAACCGGGACGGTTTGAATACAAGATACATTTGCAGGGTGCACTTCCTTTCGTTAAATTAAAATCAGAACATTTATTTTTTCTAAATACTTTTTGTAAGTTTTCAAACGTTGTTTTATACAAATGCATACAAAATCAAACGTGTTACCTAGTAAACACTTGAAAAGTGTTCACACAATTTTTTGAATATCAAGCAAAAAATTAATTTTGACAGATGAAAAACTATCATGCTATCAAAATAATCTTTTATGATTCTGCTTCGTCAAAATTTCGTTGATGAATGCAAGTGATTTGAATGAAAGGCTTGCACCAAATGTTCACTGCTTGTCTTTACGTATTACACAAACGCATCCAGCCGCGGATCTTGAGGTCTTTGTATTAGGTCAGTAAAGGCCATTGTTTTTAACGGAAAAAGTGCCATTGATAATAAAAAAAAGATGCTCAACCAGATAGAAATGTTGGCCACCTCACTCAACTTTTAAAGACATTGAAACCCCCAGCGTTTGACCAATTGATAAAATTTAGACCCCTTCCCCGCTATATTGTCTAGATTCGCCACTGAACGCTTCTTAACACACGTTTAATTATGTTGTATGTATATTATGTATATATATATATATGTGTGTGTGTGTGTGTGTGTGTGTGTGTGTGTGTGTGTGTGTGTGTGTGTGTGTGGATGGCTGCATGGATGTATGGATGGATGGATGGATGCATGTATGTATGTTATGTATATATGTATATATATATATATATATATATATATATATATATATATATATATATATATATTGTTTATATCCTATTTGTATCAAGCACCAAACACAAACACATATAGTCCATAATAGCTATAGAAAAGTTATAGTGCACATTTGAATTCGTGCGTGTAAGAAAAGGAAGTGAGCGTGTGTGAGTTCGTGTATAAAAGTTCTGCTCAGGAAGGCTGGCAGTTGTTGAAAATTTTGATTTTGATTCTGTGGTGAAAGTTAGGTAAGCAATCAATCGAACCATCTTTTCATTTCACGAAGTTTCACCACAAGAGAGATCGAGTGCTGTTGACCGAGCGAGACGAAAGGCAGGTTGGTTTCCAAATGATTTCTATTCATATTCGTTCCATCCGTAGCAATGATTTGTAAACTAATTTTAATTTATATCAATAAAAGTAAAGTAAATTGTTAAGAACCATTCAATTAATTGGTTTGTTCATTTGCAAGTCATCACTAAGATTTAAAAAATTATTTTCAGAAGTAAGTTGACGAAGTAAGTTTTTTTTATTGGGGAAAATTTTTGAAACTTCGAATATTATTTATTTCTTGTCGCGTGAAAAGATTTTGCAAAGTTTCGCTCAAACAGAACATGAGCAGCAGCTTAAACGGCTTAAAAGGCTATCCAAAATTTCAAAATTCTGTAAAATCAAGAATCGGTATCTCTTATACTTAATTCATCACAAATAATTTTGTAATGTGGCAGGAATGCAAGGATTGCTGGTGATGTTAATTTGTATAATGGTTAAGGTGCCTGGCATTGATGATGCAGTGTCCGGGTTCGAATGCAAAGAGATTCCCGCCATCACATGCAAAAGATGTGGTGCGTTGATCCACGTTTGTTTGAACAGGTACACTGCGTGTTTGTTGTAATGACCTCTGAGGAATATATAAGATAGAATGACAACGATAATAATGATAATAATACAATAAGTGTTACTCAATGGCAGCCCTCACCTTCCAGAAATTCCCCGTTTTTCCAGTTTTGGTGACATTGGAGATGATTTTCAAAATTTTAAAGTTATTGACTTTTTTGCTGAGTTTCGTTTACTTGAATACCACATTTTGCACGGAATCTTCAATATTTTTCCTTTCATGGTCGGATGGGGGTGCATCAGCCACTGAATCAGTATTATGTTTTTATTATTGATGTTGTTATCAGTATTATTATATATTTATTAGTAATAATAATAATATTACATAATATACAAAGCGAAAAGCGCAATGTTATAAAATTCCAACGAAAGTCTCTCACGAGATGCTTCAGTCAGTTGTTTTTGAATATTTCAATTAAACTATAAATGACAGCTTACCATGGACTGAAACTGTCTAACCTTATTTTTCGTTGTACAACCCAATTTTCACATTTTGTGCATGGTATCGCGGGGTGGCTGGGTGCAGATGAGCAAGCTACACGTAATGAAACAAAGCTAAATTCATGTACTATAGTTCGATCTCTACTATAAAATTCCATGTAGATTTTGATCGTGTGGAAGGATGGCGTAATAGTTAAAGTGCCTGCATGTGTTGGAGGCATGAATTCACAGGCGCTGTCCACGTTGTTTGTGCTCCTGAAAGTTGATTGTAAACTTAAAAATAATAGTCAACAAAATGTTTTCTACATTATTGTTTTGCCATTTCATTGCAATTATTATATTTTGATCATATGAACCATAAACGCAACCATCTCTGATACAATTATTGACTAATAATAATTATTAACGTCGTGATCATTGTAAATATTTTGAAGAACGTTCTCTCTGAAACTCACGAGAGTAATTTTGAAACTATCGTGATCTAATGTTTAGATTTTTAAATTATTTTATAAAAAAGTCACATGTTTAAAAATAATTTTCAAATTTGACTTGAAAATTTTTGAAAGTTCTCATTGATGTTACTCTTAATTTACTAGAGTTGAATTGAAATGTGGCAAGAACTGTCAATTATTTATTTCTACTATTCAGCATGTTCAACGTACATTCACAACTTCATACCCACATAAATAAAACATCTACAGGAACAAAACGACTTGAAACGTTTTAAATTCTCTGTTATGGGTGGGCAAGATTTATTAAAAAAAAATTCCTGCAAAACTTATCAACCAAACGTTTTTCAACTTAGGCTCTTTTGGTTGTTTACATACATTAGTTGTTTCCTATGTATCATATGTATCCTATATATCATGTGCATCGCACATAAGTATCATATAGGTTATATATATATATCATTTGAATATAACATGGCTCATCATGATAAAAAACAACGAAAACTAACATAATGATCAATAAACGAAACTGAGAGTAATGATTTCAAGTTGGCCGGTTAAAAATACAGTAAAAAAGCAACAACTGCCTGTAACACCAACTTTGCTTCAATTTTTAAAGAGAAACATTTGTTTGCAGTTGTGCAAATTTGTAAGGAACGTGTTGACAATTGAGATGATGATGATGGTGGTGATGATGGTTGTTGTGGTGGTGGTGATGATGATCATGTGGTGGAGACAATGAATGAGGTTGGTGGTAATGGTGATGGGTGGTGACGTTGATGGTGATGTTTGTTGAAGTTATTGTGGTGGTCTTGATGATAGTGGTGTTGATGATGGTGGTGGTGGTGATAGTGATGATGATGATGATAGTTTGTGGAATTTTTTAAATTTTTATTTACTTGTTTAAACCGATTAAGGTACACTTACACAACTTTCAGATTTTTATTTTTGAAATTTCCATTTGAAATAACTTAGTGCATCTGGCGGTCGTAAATATTGTGCCAGCCTGTTCATGCGTCGCGGAGCACTGCTCCATTAGAGGTCACGTCACACACCTTCATACCTACTTCCGTTTAATAACTGTTAATTAATGCATAACTGGGTTGACTTCATCGTCGGTCTGATAGTGTAATGGTGAAGAACGCTCGCACTTGTGTCGCTGTGACCGAATTCGAATTCCGTCATAAGATGTGTTTTAATTCTCTTAATTCACATATGCTATGTGTGGACTGTGATGATGTTTTTAGAGATACGTGAATTAAAATATAACCAACACGGTTATTGATATTAATCAATGATTTTAATATAAAAATATTGACGTTAATGAAATCTAAAGAATGGCCTTTGTAACAACGACCAACAACAACTTCATGTCCAGCTGTGCTTTTGTGGAATACATTGCCTAATAACGTGGTCAATGCAAGCGACGTTGATGATTTAAAAATAAAGTTTCGATGCTTTCGGGCTGGCATGATGTTTCATTTCAGAACTTCTGTAATTTGAAGATTTTGCGACATTTATACTTGACATATAATTTAATTCAATTAATTCACACACACACACACACACACACACACACACACACACACACACACACACACACACACACATATATATATATATATATATATATATATATATATATATATATATTTAGAAACGAGGTTTTCAGAAATGCAAATTTCATTGAAATTGTTTGCCCATTTTGCATTAATTAACTTCTTTATAAGACATTCAACGAGGCGGTATTGTTTGAGTTCATATTTATCTAAAACTGGAATAAAGCTAACAGCGCTGTTTCGGCGTAATGCCATCTTCAGAGCCTAAATATTGTTTAAACATATAATTTAATTAAAGTAAATGCCTAATGTAAAATGTGAAAATATAGAAAATAAAATATGTATTAAATTGTGAAATAAATTAACCTTGTTGTAAATATCATAATAATTAAAGTTTATGTAGATTATATATAAATAAAATAATGTAATTTAAATAAAATGTTTAGTAAAATAATTAAAATATAGAAATTTTATAAAAGTTTTAACATGGTTGAGAAACGTTAGTGAAAACTAATTACGAATGACATGTGCGCCAGATATATAATATTGCTGTGTATGCGTTGTGAATACAACTATTGCGGTTGAATATGTGTGATACGAGTTTCCACATCAGACCTACGGATACATAGTTAAATATAAATACATATATGTACATGCAAGATACATATCTATGTATAGATCAAGTATTAGGTATCACATAATACATCCAACGACGCGATGACGGTTGTCGGATGACACTGGGTCACAAACTGCGTGTTGATGGGTTGAAATGTATTCAACGTAGGATGATATTCATATCGTTGTGGTACACGCAGATCCTGTGGATCAACCCCAACGGCAACAGTAGGTGTGAGATCGTGATATTGAGAAAACAATTGCAAAGTGTGATCAAAGCTGTCATATTGTTTATTGAGTGAGGGTTTATGCTTGTTGATATGAAGGGCTTCTTTAATTTTAAGGCGAACTGGATCGGGTTCATAATCAAGGATCGTTGTGTTGGGATCCAATATGTTCCTCGTAAGCGGTTGATGATGTACCCGTTCCATATGGTCCTTAATGGCACCATTCTGTGTATGCATGGTGAGTCTTCTAGAGAGAGTAGTTCTCGTATGGCCGATATAACTCTCCACAACACAGTGTGGCACGGGACAAGAAAATCGGTATACGAGATTGGTTCTCTCTAGTTTGTTGGGGGGACGTGTGTTGTTATTTTTAACGATAAAGCTGGATGTTCGGTTGGTGTTGTAATAAATTATGAACTTCAGTCGGTAGCTTTCTTTGGGAACGGAGACATTGGATTTGATGATACGTTTGAGCATTGATTCATCAACTTTGTAGTTGTCATGCATTTGATTGAGATAATATAGAGGTATAATTGTTTTTGTCGAGGTTGGAGTTATAGGATTATTTGTTTTGTTGATATAATGTTTTATGGTATTATCTATTAATTGGTTGGAATAGTTGTTGTTGATGAGAAACTGCTTTATGCGAATCAGTTCTGTATTGAAAATATTGATATCGGAAGAGATTTTGTATGCCCGATGAATGAAGTTATAGATGACGTTGTTTTTATAGCGGTCGGGGCAGTCCGAATGATTATTTAAGACCTGACCAGAATTAGTCGGTTTAACATAAACCCTCGAAGTTAGCTGTTCTTCTTTTTCTTCAATTAAGCAATCGAGAAACCGCAAATCATATTCAACCGCAATAGTTGTATTCACAACGCATACACAGCAATATTATATATCTGGCGCACATGTCATTCGTAATTAGTTTTCACTAACGTTTCTCAACCATGTTAAAACTTTTATAAAATTTCTATATTTTAATTATTTTACTAAACATTTTATTTAAATTACATTATTTTATTTATATAATCTACATAAACTTTAGTTATTATGATATTTACAACAAGGT